ATAGTATCTGGAATATTATCATTTTGTAAAAGTGTCACTTAGATCCCACTTAGTTTAATATATGTTCAAAGTGAAAAGGGTTAATGTGAACTCATAGATGGAATGAGGGGGGTGCTGGTGAAAAATCTCTGTCAGTCTTTTTAAGTCTTTATATAAACAAATTTTTATTGTTACATTCTAATGCCAGTGCACTAGCTGTCTTTTGTGACACAGTACAGTTTTGTGCAGAGAAGATGCCATTACGGATATGCTTACTTCAAAAACGATTAACTTGTCTTACGTACGCCCCTTTAGAGGACAAAAGAATTGTGTGAAAGTCCGTAGGCTAAAGGACAATGCCGACTTACGTACATCTTACTCACATCTTACGTACATCTTACACACATGCAGCGATGAGTAAGAAGGGGTGGGCTTACGCAAATAGGGTGACGGCGGGGTGTTTCTCGCCTTTCGGCAACACACAATCATGTGTGAAAACAGGCGTGATATATGATCCCGCTTAATTGTGGGCTATTAAATCGTCCTCTGTTGCGCTGCGACGCGACCCTTTGCCCTGGTTAGAATGGGATGTTAAAGAGTTATTCACATTGATTTACTGATTTCTTGTAAATGATACCTTTGTCAATGAGTCGATGATACGTCACTGTGTTGTGGTCTATAATACTGCAGGTCCAGTTTCCCCACTAACTGTGATGCAACCCAGGCATAACTTTGACTAAGTGAGTCAGTGAGCCGACTTTAAAATGTCAAAAAAAAAAAGAAATAAATAAATAACATTTAAACTCAAAATAATTTCCCTTTTTTCACCGACGTCCGACTAATCATACTGTTCAATCGGAGTAACATAAATGCGAAAACTCGTAATAAGTTTCACGGCACTTTCACGTCACATGACTCCGTACAAATTTAACGAAGGCCATTTGTGCCAAGGTAAACGCTTGGTTCATTTCCTCTAGCTTCCGGTTTTTAAGCCAATCAGTACTTCGTTGACATTTTACACTACACGTACGACTACATGTGTCAAATTAATGCAAAATGGCGGGAAAGTGGGCTGGAATAGCCGTCTTGATTTAAGCAGGTATTTGACCACTGTTGTGTGGCTCAGTTTATAGTGAAGGAGGTTTTATATCTTGTTCTGCTTGCTTGACTATCGCCAGAGGCTTAAGGTGTGAATATCACTGTAACACTACCTTTGTTAAACGCACAATTACAGGCCAGTCATTATCGGTGGGGGTGAGGGGGGGGGTTAAACGCTACATCTATTATATTACAATATTTAGAGCCTGTGTCGGCTTTGACAAGAGTCAGTATGGTGAACAATTCTAGATTGTAAAGAGGTGCTAATGGTAATCCGTAATTATGCCGTTTCTGTAGCACGTCCCTCCCTCCTTGATTTTAGTTTGCTAACTAGTTGATACCCTATTTAGCGCATTTAAGAATGTTGTGTTTTTTTTTTTACCCGTTAAAGCAACGTCCAATCCTATGTAATGAACATCAAACTTACAGATCACACCAACAGCATAACATTTTAACGGAATCTCTTTCTGTAATGTTTGTGTTAATTGGTGGTGGGAAAAGTCTTATTATTCAATGATTAAAATAATTGTAGAAATAGGGCTACATGTAGTCGCACAAAAGCACATTCCTTAATACTGGGATCAATTCCAGGGTGTAGGGTTTCGTATATTTTGTAACTGCACTATTATCTTACCAACTTTGGACAGCTGGCTAGCAGACAGCTCCGTGCTTTAGATTTCCTCTTGGGATGATAATTTCACTGTTGTCAGGTGCTGGTTTCGTATCGGCAGTTGCCGCAGGGAGCGTGATTGAAATCAAACTTGGCACATCTTGAAAGTTTAAGTCGCACAAAAGATTTTCAGGCGACACTTTGAATCAGAGCTGCCACGTAAGCTAACAGTTTAATTACTGCAACGTACAGGTAAATTGAGAGTTCCAATAAGATCGCCATCTTCCTATCTCTCCATCAACATATTTCTTGAGACTGCCTTTATTTTCGTTCACTGTTCAACAAGGATAATTATCAAACGAAGAACATCGTATGAAGAAGGGATTTTTATTTATTATTTTATTCATGAAACGATAAGAAATCTGCTCGTTTCAGCAGAAGAACGGGAATATAAAACCATTAATTTAAAATAAAGTTCTTTGAAAATTACAATTTAAAATAAAGTTCTTAAAAAACTGCTTGCTTAAATCATTCCATCAAGATGCATGAGAACTAAATCTGGATCGAATAAGTTGTATGAATAATGTCATATAAGAATATTTGCTATATAAATATATGCCAGACATTTCCTTTATTGCGATAAATAAAATATTCTGATATAAATTCGAAAAAAAAACCACAGAAGAAACATCCTCGCCAGTAATAGGTGCTGGTTACAGTCCGTATCGGTAACGTATAATGTGACAGAACGAGCTTGCATGCACCAAACCAAGCAAAGTTCAACCAAAAAAATTGTAACATTTATTGGTAATGATAGCCGGTCAGATTCCATGAAAACATTATATAACCATGCTGTAGTATTTGATCATTGTGTGGACACATAAATTATTGTGATGGTACATTTATGCTGCCTGCAAGTTCCTTCAGTTAAGAAAAACCCTTAACTATGGTGAATATTAATGGCTTAATACAAGAGCAGTTTTTATATGCTCGCACTCGCCCTGTTTTAAAGTTGTGGTTCATTAGTAAGACATTGGTACCAAAGAAAACAGCTTAATTCAAATGAAGGTCTTCAAACTAATATGTAGAAGCGTTAAATCCAGTTGCCGTTAGGATATTTCTTGTAACGAAATTGTAATGACGATAAGCGAGCATTGATATTCATCAGAAACCAGGTGAGATCGTTGATTAGGGAAGGTGGGCATAAATAATGGAATAATGGTGCGTGGGTAAAGCCATAATTCGACGTACAAGTCACTGGATATTATCGTCGTCGTTTTAATCTCCAATTGAATACTCCGCGCCGCTTCAAAATTAAAAGAAAAGAAAAAAAAACGCGTTTGGATAGATTACCCGGTCCCTGTTATTTTTTGTGATCGAAAAGGTTAGGGCAAAGCCAGGTTAAACTGCAATCAATTATACTCTCAAAATTTATAATAATGTGAGCATTTCAATGTAATAATTTGAGCTGAAATTGATACCTCAAGGAAAAACGTAAAATGTGCTGTCTTATTTGGGTTATGGTTCCTTTATTTTCAATATTCAGAATCAACAACACATGGGAATTTCAAAATCTACAACACAATTTACAGCAAAAAAAAAACTGTTACTATGTGCGCAGCAAAAACGCCTGTTGGAACTATTTTAGGAGTGACATTAATTTGTAACCGAGCCTTGAGAACCAAGACATCGTGAAGAGAGAAAATGCTATCTTAAACCTAGGTCCCAACTACGTTTTGGACGCACGGTTTTTAGGTTTCTTGCGTCCGTCTAGGGAGTAGCTTAATCGCAGGGAGGGAATCAAGTAAAGCCTAGGTCCCAACCGAAAGTATGGGCTGCTATGTGTGGTCTACGGTCAAAAAATGGGGGAAAAGTTCGTGCGTGAGGAGCACGTCCATCGTGCGACTCTTGGAGGACGCAAACAGCACGTAGAAACTTTTCGACCTGATCAACAGCCGCTTCGTGCGATCTTGCTTCGTCCTAGCCGGACGCAAGGAACCTAAAAGCCGTGCGTGGAAAACGTAGTTGGGACCTAGGCTTAACTTTTCGACATGATCAACAGCCGCTACGTGCAATCTTGCTACGTCCTAGCCGGACGCAAGGAACCTAAAAAACCGTGCGTGGAAAACGTATTTGGGACCTAGGCTTTAAATACTTACTGAAGGACGAATACAATGAAAGCGTGCCACATATAGATGAACAATGATTGTGTGCAGTCGGGCAGATAATCAGATAAGCGGTTGGGACTTGGGAGATGACAATTAAAGCTGTCACTCAGCAGCATCGGTAGAGGGAGAGGTGGCAATTAAGGCTGTCACTCATCACCTTAAACGAGGCCAACTCAACTAACTTCCCTTACCCCAGCTGACTTACTCTAAGCATTGTGTCCTATTGTGTTTACCCTGTAATTATGTGCAATTTGCGATACGTAAGTTTATCCATATCCGTAATGTCACCTTCTCTGCACAAAACTGTATGTGTATGTATATATTCTGATAACTGTGTATGTCTGTTTTGTTGCTGCGGTGTCTGTGTTTATCATAAAATAATAATATATTTTGATCACTGTGTTATATCTGTGTTGTTACTNAAATACTTACTGAAGGACGAATACAATGAAAGCGTGCCACATATAGATGAACAATGATTGTGTGCAGTCGGGCAGATAATCAGATAAGCGGTTGGGACTTGGGAGATGACAATTAAAGCTGTCACTCAGCAGCATCGGTAGAGGGAGAGGTGGCAATTAAGGCTGTCACTCATCACCTTAAACGAGGCCAACTCAACTAACTTCCCTTACCCCAGCTGACTTACTCTAAGCATTGTGTCCTATTGTGTTTACCCTGTAATTATGTGCAATTTGCGATACGTAAGTTTATCCATATCCGTAATGTCACCTTCTCTGCACAAAACTGTATATATATATATATATAATGTTAATTCATGCAACCTTCGAGACTTGGCTGCTAGGGCTATCCGACACTGTAATCGATTATGCCAAATATAGACCTTGTTGGAAATATCAAAAATCACCAGGTTACAGGTTTGAATAGTTCCTGAAGATTTTATATGTTCAAAAATGAATGTCAAACTATGGAAAAACCTCAACAGATAAGGAAAAAATATTTCATCCAAATACATGTTTACAATGCCGTTTTGTGTGCGGCCATTTTGGAAGACGAATGTCACTTCAGAGAATACTCAATGAAATCGATACATGAACATTCCTCTGGCATATAAAATGTAACTTAAGCATAAACTGTTTTTTCCTGTTGAATTTATAATTCAACTGGTCATTGTATAACATACGTACATCTTACCTGTCTCTATGGCCTTCTACTAGCGCCATTTTGCTGAGCGGCGCAACCTCTTTCTGAAAACGAGGCCGGTTGCTCACAAGGCTGTTGACATTTACCGATTGTGGTGGTAGTGCCCGACCAATTCCAATGCTTCAAACCCACCGATTGCGATACTTGCGACAGATCCTAGAATTTTAAAAGTACTTTTAAAAGGATTACACCCAATTGTGACACCTTCTACTTACCTATTGTGGTAGTAGGGCCCAAGCAAATTTAGACCTGCCATAACGGGATTGGCCGTATAGCTCAGGCGGTAGAGCTCTTGTCTCACAGAGAAGTCACAGAGTAATAGTAATGATTGCAAACAAGTAGAGTCACAAAATCCACATACACAGTGCTCACAATATATACAAACACGTACAGTGACAACACCAACATGCACAGTAATCAAAATAATTACTTACAAACACTGTCACAATACAGACGTACACAGTGATCAGAATTATTTGCAGACACAAACAGTAACAACACAAACATACACAGTGATCAAAAACATATTAACATATATAGTGATAACAGTAACGTAACAATACAAAATAGACACAGCAAACAGAATATAAACAGACACATAGACATACATGGACAACACCAACATTCAGCAAAATAGTAATGATTATAAACAGAGTGACAAAACTGACATGCACAGTAATCAAAATCAATACAAACAGTGATCAAATTATATACAGATACATATAGCAACAAAACACTTATATCAAGATCAAAATATATAGAAAAACATAGAGCTATAACATGGATATACTGTATAAAGTAATCAGCGCATATATTATATACAAATACAGTGTTAACATACAATGTACAGAGCAATCAGAATATCTATAAACACAATTACTAACACTGACAACAAAGACTGTACGCAGTGATCAGAATATGTGCAAACACATACAGCTAAACCAATAATATCATAATACCAATACTATAATATCAATAGCAGATATACGGAATGTATGACAACACAGAATGTATACAGCGATCAGAAAATAACAGACACAGCTTAAAGTGACAACACTAACATACACAGAAATCATGAGGATTACAAACAAACAGAGTGACAATACAGACTTGATAAGAATATATAGAAAGACAAACAGTGACAATAGAAAATTTGCTCCGAAGAACAATTTTTCTTTTTTTCTAGTGTGTGTGCCCTAAATTATCCCTGATATGAAAAAAAAAAAAAAAAAAAAAAAAAAAGAAAGAAAAAAAAAAAAACGACAATACTTTTCTTTCTCATAATATACAGCTACAAAATAGACTGGTGTGTCTGTGTCCCAGATTTAAGCTCTGTTTTAGACTGAGTTACCATGCCTAGATTGATTCATCTGGATTGGTCCAACTCCCAGGGGAGTCTCACTAAATTGCTATCAACTTAATTGGCTTAATTGTCTGTCGCACCTATGAATCAGTTAGGGTAAAGATAATGTAATCCAATGCATAGGAATATTTTGACAGACTTTCAGAGATGATCGCCCCCTGCTGTTACCCAGTATATCGTGGGTATGCAGATAAACAAACACATACAGTGTTAACACAGAATGTATGCTGCAATCAGGATATATATATATAAACACAACTGCTAACAGTGACAACAAAGACTGTACACAGTGATCATAATATATGGAAACAAATAATGACAAGACAAACATACACAGTGATAAGAATATTTGCAGACACATATTTGTAACTAGATGGTGTTGATGAGTAGCCATCGCATATCCCGGCACTTCCCCATATTATCAAGAGCAGCTCACCCCTAGGGACCACTTACCACACATGCACGTATACACGCATGTACGCACACACATACACACATCACTGCTTCATCCAAAAGTATTTAAAAATATAAACGTAAAAAAAAACTACAATGATAAAAGAATTTAGAATCAACCAACCCCCAGGGACAGCCCAACCCCCTGTTGCACTACAATTCAAAAGTGCCCATGCACATCTCTGATGATGGGTATACTAATCACCAAAGTTTCAACTTCCTACCTACAATGGTCTAGAAGAAAATAGCAGAAACTACACTGTGAAAAGAATTCAGAATCAACCAACCCCCGGGGAAAGCCCAGCCCCCTGTTGCAATAAAATTCCTAAGTGTATATGCACATCCCTGATGACGGATCTTCCAATTCCCAAAGTTTCAATTTCCTATCCCGGTCCCAAATATCCCAAAGTTTCAATTTCCTATAACGGTCTAGGAGGAGATAGCAAAAATTACAATGTCATAAGAATTTTGAATCAACTACCCCCCAGGGACAGCCCAACCCCCTGTGGCACTAAAATTCTAATGTGCCCATGCACATCCCTGAAGATGGGTCTACCAATTCCCAAAAGTTCAACTTCCTACCTGCAATAGTCTAGGAGGAGATAGCGGAAATAACTAACTCACAGACGCAAGAATGCCCAAATGCACAGACGCACAGATGTAGGACGGGCGGGAGAACATGATCCCCGACTTTTGTCCCAAGAGTGCGGGGATAATAAGAATGTGAACAGTCACAAAAACTTATAGTGACAAAATAAACATGTACAGTAATCAAAATGAATACGAACCAATAGAGTGACAAATCTGATTAACAAAGTGATCAAAATAGAAAATGCATGGGCGTAACCAGGCATACGCATGGATGCACTGTGCATACAATTTTCTGGGCCAACCATGATATTATTCTCTATAAATGTAGTGTATTTTTCACAGAATATAATCTAAAATCCCCTTTGATTGTAAGCCGACCCCCCCCCCCCCCAATTGGCGTGAGGTTCGGGGCCCAAAATTTTTTGTAATTTAGAGGGTGAACTGTGCCAATTGGTACGTTTGATTCAGCTAGTCAAAATTTTAATTTCAAGAAAGGGCCATTGGTGTGATTTTTTCAGAAATTGAAAGGAGGGATCATTCTCATCTCTTCAGCAGGAGATCAGTCGCGAACCGAGGGAATCAAGAAAGCAATTTTCATATTCGTTCAAGGGACTTCGTTTGCGGTATGTTGTCAGCCGGAGACCGTTACCAATCCGAACGAGAGACGAGAAGGCAACTTTCATATTCATTCAGTGGAGTGAATCGGCGCGTCGATGGGAGATCGTTATCGATTATTTTTAACCCCCCCCTTGAAATTTATTATTCTTTAATTTTTTTTCATTTAATTTCACCTCCCTCCCCCCCCCCCCACACACACACACAGACACACGTCATGGCACTTGGAAAAGTAGGACGCACTGAAATTTCCGAGAAAAAGTGTTGGTTCTTGGCGAAATAATATACTATACCTTAATTATATGGTGGTGAATACTTTAACTTTGAGTGATGATTTTATTTCTGGTGAAAAATAAGCTATTATATTTAGTACATATAATTTAAACTGTCCTTCATCTGTTGCATAAGTCTACATTTAGCTGTACCTGGGAATTATGAAAATTTGTGCGTACAATTTTAAAATGTCTGGTTGCGCCCCTGAAATGTACAATTATAACTATCAGAATATGTTACACTGAAACAAACAGTGACAAAACAGAATGTACATTTCAATCAGATTATACTTCACAACAATTGCTAACAGTGACAACAAAGACTGTACACACTTATAGGAGAGTCACAGTAATTAAATCGAGGCACAGCTGAGAATGCACTCTGTACAACNTGTACAACACAATTTACAGCAAAAAAAACTAACTATGTGCGCAGCAAAAACGCCTGTTGAAACAATTTTAGGAGTGACATTAATTTGTAACCGAGCCTTGAGAACCAAGACATCGTGAAGAGAGAAAATGCTATCTTAAACCTAGGTCCCAACTACATTTTGGACGCACGGTTTTTAGGCTCCTTGCGTCCGTCTAGGGCGTAGCTAAATCGCAGGGAGGGAATCAAATAAAGCCTAGATCCCAACCAAAAGTATGGGCTGCTATGCGTGGTCTACGGCCAAAAAATGGGGGAAAACGTGGGAGTTCGTGCGTGAGGAGCACGTCCATCGTGCGACTTTTGGAGGACGCAAACAGCACGTAGAAACTTTTCGACATGATCAACAGCCGCTTCGTACGATCTTGCTACGTCCTAGCCGGACGCAAGGAACCTAAAAGCCGTGCGTGGAAAACGATGTTGAGACCTAAGCTTAACTTTTCGACATGATCAACAGCCGCTACGTGCGATCTTGCTACGTCCTAGCCGGACGCAAAGAACCTAAAATACCGTGCGTGGAAAACGTATTTGGGACCTAGGCTTTAAATACTAACTGAAGGACGAATACGATGAAAGCGTGCCACATATAGATAAACAATGATTGTGTGCAGTCGGGCAGATAATCAGATAAGCGGTTGGGACTTGGGAGATGACAATTAAAGCTGTCACTCAGCAGCATCGGTAGAGGGAGAAGTGGCAATTAAGGCTGTCACTCATCACCTTAAACGAGGCCAACTCAACTAACTTCCCTAACCCCAGCTGACTTACTCTAAGCATTGTGTCCTATTGTGTTTACCCTGTAATTATGTGCAATTTGCGATACGTAAGTTTATCCATATCCGTAATGTCACCTTCTCTGCACAAAACTGTATATGGGGACTTAACGACATTCGGCTTGAAGGCTTTAACCACTTTTTATAGTTTATTTTTGCATTGTATTAGGTTGATGTGGCAGTCTAAGGTTGTTCTAGGTGGTTTTCAAGTTTATGCACCCGGTTTTAATATCATTTAGCGATTTTACGACAATCGTTTACTATACAATCAAGGTGACAGCCGAGCGTGTACTCACTCTGTATTTTCATCCAAGTTGACCACAACTTTACCCGCTGAATTCGAGTCTGTCCATGGGTTGTAATTACTCAGCCTGGCAATTTGCAGCACAGCAACGCCCTGAAATCTTTTGAACAGAAAATGTTTTGTTTTGTGATAGCAACAAGGCCTTAAATGCCATTGCGGCGATGTACACGCTCTCCTCCACATGCTTTATTTTTTTTACAAACCCTTCAACAAGTAGTACCGTTGAACATGAAAAAAAAATACCAAAATAGATAATTGAAATTTTGCAAGACTTTTTGAGAGATAATATTAATGGAACACTTCAAATAATATTTCTCTTTAATATATCAAATATATTTATCGGTATGTATCAATTTTTACATACTTAATATATTTTGAAGTTACTTTGTTTAAGTACGACTTTATGATGTACGCTATCGGTTAACAACTTCCGGTAGATAGTTTTGGTGATGAGCCAACACATGATGCTGACGGAGATTGACCTAGACCACATCCACCACCAGTGACCCATACTATTCAACACAATGTCAGGGAAATGTTATTCTTGTGCTACTGAATTTGGGATATTTAAGAAAGAGGTAAATGAGGTACAGAATTATATCCGAGGCTTTA